ACTAAGCCATCTTCCTGGTCCTCTCTTCCTCTTTCAGAGCCAGAAATGATGCCATCATAGAACCTTCCTCTCATGACCCCAGCCTCCTAGACAGGACTACCCCACTTCCCTTAGAAACCCGTGTTCCACAGAACAACTAGAATCCTCTCTGGTCCAAAGGAAACTCCGTTTCCCCAAATTTTGGTGGATAGGCAAAAGCCAGCGTTCCTCAGGCACTGTGAAGCCAGATCCCCTCTACCAAACCGAGCAGAAGGGACAAATGTTTACCTGGTGCCTCTTAGCACACCCAAGCTCGTGGTGGCCTCCGGGCTCCCTCTGTATCCCAAGTGCCTGTGACACATTTCCGAGTCCACGCTGGCATCCTGACTCTTCTCAGGTCTTTTTACGCCTGCCCTCTCCCCAAACGTCCTCCGGCTCGTGGGCTTTCCTCCCCTGCTTACTGTGAGCTCTCCTCATCTAGCCCTGCTATTATGGCTCTCTCTCTCTCTCTCTCTCTCTCTCTCTCTCTCTCTCTCTTGTCTTCCTCTCTCTTGTCTTCCCCTCTCTTTACCCACTCTTTCGCTCCCTCACTTTTGCCCACTTTGCCCACTCTCTCTCGGTCTTCCTCTCAGTCCCCCTCTCTCTGTCTCTCTCTCCCATCTCCCTCTTCTGCCTCGATCTGCTGGCCATGTTTAATTCACTGCTTTCTCCCTCTGCTCCTCACTGCTCGGACGCCTCTGGCTGTTCTCTCCCTCATATCTACAATAAAAACGCCCCCTCAACCATACCATAGAGCGGCCATGTTCTCCATTTATGGTTTCCAGTTTCTTCCCACAGTAGGGCTGGGTACTTCCTCCTGGTGTTGGCCAGGCCCACCCTGGTAGGCTGTGGGGACAAGAGGAATTCCCATCCTTTTAGAGCCCTCCTGGGTCTCCAGCCTCTCCCTTGCTCCTCCGGCAGCCTGCACAGGGCTTCCTCCATCTAGGCCACACCCGGCTGTCTCCTGAGGAACTGTTTCCTGTCCTGTCATCCCCTCGCCTTCCTCTCTGTGTTCCTTTCCATGTGCTGGGTCACACTCTCGAGGGAGCCTCTGGAAGTGCTGTGCCTGCCTTCCCTTTGAGTGAGGCAGCTGCCGGTCCTCTGCAATGCTCTCTGCCTAAAGAGCTCATCTCCCTGGGGATGGCAGGCAGCTCAGTGACGTTCTAAAACTAGCAGGTTTGAACTGTCAAGAGGTCCCCACCAGAGCAGGGCATGGTGGCTCACCCCTTTAATCCCAGCACTCGGGAGGCAGAGGCAGCCAGATCTCTGAGTTTGAGGCCAGCCTGGTCTATAGAGTGAGTTCCAGGACAGCCAGGAATACAAAGAAACCCTGTCTCAAACCAAAAACAAACATCCCAACTGTCTCAGAAGCCAGAAGCTGCTGGCTCCACCATGACTTCCTCTCCCTGGGGTGAAAAACTGCTTTAGATCACAATGGAAGAGAAAGCAGAGAACCCCAGAATCAGGACTCCACTAAAGTGATGCTTTTTTGTTCTGTTTTGTTTTGTCTTTTATTTGTTTGTTTTTCAAGACAGGGCTTCCCTGTGTAGCCCTGCCTGGCTGTCCTGAAGCAGGCTGGCCTTAAACTCACAAAGATCCAAGTGCCTCTGCCTCCCAAGGGCTGGGATCAAAGGCGTGCGCCACCGCCACCCGGCATTTGTTTTCGTTTTGTTTTGTTTTTTGTTTGTTTGTTTTTTTTTTTTAATTTGAAGGGGCTAGAGATGTAGCACAGCTGGCAGAGTACTTGCCTAGCATGCACAAAGCCTCGGTTCCACCCCCAGCACCACACAAGTCAGACATGGTGGGATACTACCATGAGCCCGGCACTTGGGAGGCAGAAGCAGGAAGAGCAGAATTAAAGGGCATCCTGAACATAGCTGGTTAGAGGCCAGTCTGGGCTACTTGAGATCCTGTCTCAAAATAAATAAATAAAACAACAACTTGTATTTGTGTATTGTGTGTGTGTGTGTGGGGGGGTGCACACGTGTTGATATACACACAGGCGTATGTGCAGTGCACGTGTGCAGGACAGAGGCTAATTTGTGGAGGTAGTTCTTTCCTGCCCCTGAACCGAGGTCATCAGGCTTGGCAACAATACCCACTGAGCCATCTCGATGGTCCTAATTATATTTTTATTAACACAGTAATTGTACTGTTTCTGGGGTACAGTTTGCATGTTAATATATGTGTACAACATTAAATCAGGGTAACTGGTGTGTTACTGTTCCAGACCTCTACCACCTCTTTGTGCCAGGAACATTTCAAGTCTTCTCTGCTGGCTGTTTTGAAATTCTATTAAATGTTGACAACCAGGACTATCACTTCCGGTTGTAACAAAACCGGCTAGACTCAGAAACGTACTGCAAATAAAGGCACTGAGATGGTTAATCATGAATGTCAGCTTGATGGGATCCAGGGTCTCCATGGAAACCGACTTCTGAGTGTCTGTGAATTCCTAGATTAGGTTAGCTGAGGTGGGAAGACGCACCCTGAATGTGGGCGGCACCATCCCCATGGGTCAAGATCCTAGGTGGAATCAGAAGGGTTGAGGCCCAGCATCCGCTGCTCCCTGATGAGACTGCTCAGCTGCCTCTTGCTCTCACTGTTATGCCTTATCCCTTCACCCTCCAACCGTGACCGAGGGAAACCCCCTGTCCTAAAGCTGTTTCTGTCCCATATGTTCTCCCAGCAGAGAAAAGTAACTGAGACAGGCCGCAGGGCAGCATCACTGGTGCTCTCAGGGTGGCCTTGGGCGTGAACTTCTCATCTCTCACTGTCTCCCTTCAATTAGGAGTCACAGTGTCTACCTTAAAAGAATGCTAGCGGTGGTGGTGCACGCCTTTAATCCCAGCACTCAGGAGGCAGAGCCAGGCGGATCTCTGTGAGTTCGAGGCCAGCCTGGGCTACAGAGCAAGTTCCAGGAAAGGTGCAAAGCTACACAGAGAAACCCTGCCTCGAAAAAACAAAAAAACAAAAAACAAAAAAAAAAAAATGTTAGTTAACAGCTGAAGCTATGAAAATGAAGCTCTTGGGCCAGGTATGGGGCTGTACATCTCTGAGCCCGGTACTAGGGAGGTAGAGGCAGGAGGATCAAGGCCAGCCTAGGCCACATGGTAAGTTGGAGGCCAACTTGGGCTATATGAGACTCTGTCTTTAAAAAATAAAAATCCCTTGTGTACATGACTTTTTCCTCACTTAAATATTATCTGTATATCTGTAACAGTAGGGGAAAAAAAAAACAGGAGGGGAGTGGCTGGAGAGATGCCTGTATTTAAGGGCCACATTGCTCTTGCAGAGGACCCAGTATCCACTTCGGGAGGTTCCCAACAACTTGTAACCCCAGCTCCAACACCAACACCCTCCTCTGACCTCTGGGGGCTCTTGCTGTCTCACACACACACACACACACACACACACACACACACACACACACACTTGAAAATAAAATCTTTTACAGAGAAGAAAACTAGAGCTTGAGAGACAGCTCAGCAGTTAGAAAGTGTGCCACTCTCAAAAAGGACCTGGGTTTGACTCCCAGCATGCATCCTGGGCAGCTCACACAACCACCTGTAACTAGTTCCAGGGGGTCTGTACAAAACTACACATAAGCTGGGTGTAGCTCAGGAGGCAGAGGCAGGCAGATCCCTGTGAGTTTGAGGCCAGCCTGGTCTATATAGTGAATTCCAGGACAACCAGAGCTGCATAGTAAGACGCTGTCTCAAAAATATGAAGAAAAAAAAAAAAACCCACACACAGACATATACAAAATACATAATTTTTGTTTGTTTGTTTGTTTGTTTTTATTTTTTTCAAGACAGGGCTTCTCTGTGTAGCTTTGGAGCCTGTCCTGGAACTCACTCTGTAGACCATAGACCAGGCTGTCCTCGAACTCACAGAGAGCCACCTGGCTCTGCCTCACGAGTACTGGAATTAAAGGCACATGCTACCACCACCCGGCCTGCTAAAATAAATCTTTTAAATAAGGAAAACAGAAAGCAACATTAGATTACAAATATAATAGATATTACACATGAAAAAATACTAAGCCCTTGGACTCAACATCATAGACCACATGAGGTTTATAATATACAGTTAAATAAGATGCCTATAAACGTAGAATAACCCTGATATCAGCAAGTGTTTATGTGTGAGCAACAGCTCTATACAATGTGTGTTAAATACAGAAAACAGCACACACTATTCTTCCAGCCCCTTTGACTCCATCCCCGTGGATTTCACGTGGCCCCCTCAAGCACCTCACAGCCCTGGGAGGCTGTTCCCACGGTGCCCTCCCAAGGATGTATCCCCACAAATACGTAGCCTACATTTCTGCTCTTCCCCCTTAGTCCTGGGCACAGACATGTCTGCTCACAGACATGTAAGCTGGCTTTGACTGGGTCCCTGGTGATCTAGATTTCATCTCTTGATAACCAACTGCCATTTTCCACAGATGCTGCCCCTCCCCCACACCCTTGCTCCGACAGCAAAGCCTTTGATGTCAGAGAAACAGTTCCCCCTACCTCTCACCTCACTCAAAGGATCTCCATTGATCTTTTGGTCTCCTAGAAGGTGAGGTCTGGAATGTTCTGGAAAACCACATAATACTATGCAATAGTTAGAAGCAATGAACTAAAATGCCGTCCAATGTAGAAACATACGCAGTGTAAAGAAACAGAGAACGGGCTCATTAAATTGAAATTTTATTTATTATTTTTTGTAATGTGGCAAAATACATAGAAGATAAAGTTTATTGTTTTATAGGCCAGCAAGATGGGCTCAGCACAGGTTGAAGGCACTCCCCTGCCAACCCTGCCAACCTGAGTTTGATTCCCAAACTCTTATGATGGAGAAGACAACTGAGTCCCAAAAGTTGTCTTCTGATGTCAACCCCCGACTGCCTGATCCCAAATAACCGACTCAGAGGCTGAATATGAATTATAAAAGTTCAGTTGATAGCTCAGGCTTGTTACTAACTAGCTCTTACATTTAAATTAACCCATTTCTATAAATCTATGTATTGCCACATGGCTCATGGCTTGACCTGTCCTCTAGCATGTCTTGCCTCCTGGACAGCTGGCTGGTGCCTCCCTTGACTCAGCCCTCCTTCTTCCCAGCATTCTGAGTTTGGCTTTCCCAACTAACTTCTAGCCTGTCCACTTTTTATTAACCAATGAGAGTAATACATATTCAGAGTGTAGAAAAGGATTGTTCCACAGCAGTGCACACACAAAAATACACAAATAAATGCAACCTAGGGGCTGGAGAGGTGGCTCAGTGGTTAAGAGCA